ACAACCACACTGAGGTGTGGAAACTGCCTTCACTCCTGTGCCCCCTTTGCAGCCTGAATTAGTGCAGTCCAGGGAGAGCTTGGCTCCCCAGCTGGGGATAATGGGCACCAAAGTCCTGTGGCCAATTCCACAGCCTTCCCACCAGATTGCTCCCATTCTGCACGGGAGGAAGCGCCCATCAGGAAATCGCGGCGCAGGCGTTCACTGGCTTAAATGAGCAAGCCGTTAGAAGAAGGCAAGCACTACAGTTATATACAGAATATGCTTTCTTTACATTTATATACGTAAAACCTATTTCCAGAAGGATGCACAATGTATATAGTTCTGACTTCCAGATATCCTATTTAACAATGAGTGAACTCCAATTGCCTGAAGCAGAAAAGGCCTCGCATGCTGGCAACCTGATTCTATAGTTGCTTAATCTACATAATTTACAAAGCACTCCAATTGCTTAAGTTAATGAGGTCTAATGCCCTGGTGGAGAACTGCAGGGCTGGACAGGATGATGAGATATGCAGTAACAAAGGTTCTCCGTTACAGCAAATAGGAAACCCTCTGAACATAACACGGGGACTGTTCCAAACATATAGCGATATACATCTTTTTTATGACACAGTTGTAAACAGCTCCCAAGTAAAAAGCAAAGAAAGTGAGATGGAGAAACGAGGCCACAACAGTCGTTTAAAGGGCCCTGGTCTGGAATTTTTCTAGCTTTGGAATTCCTGAACTCCAGCGCCCTTCAACTAGGTGAGCTGGTGAACCATCTCCAACAGAGAGCAAATCCACCTGCTGATTCTCCAGGTTGTGATTTGCAGAGGGGCTCAACTTCCCTGACTGGAAAAGGAAGTTGGGAGACGTGCACGCATGTCTGGCACCAGAAATCTCTTCGGCAGCAGTTGCAAACCCACCCAAATCTTAGCTGCTTGCAAGAAGGTGCCCCCAGATGATGAGAATGCTAGGACGGGGGTTCTCCGGGACATGCATTTTTCCTGCAAACAGTAGGACTCATCTGGGCTTCAGCACAGTAAACAAGTGATAACTGTATGGACACCAACATTATTTTTTAAAAAACAGTCTTTTTAAATGACCAAACTCTTGGGAAGTTGCCAAATTCCTCCAGCATCGGCATTCTTCCCCCAAATTTCACAAGGTTTTAGCCAAACAAACAACAGCTGGAAGCCAACCAACCAACCAACCAACCACCAGCTGGTTTCAGCGAATGCCCTTAGTTGGATTCTGATGATCCACCCAAGAACTGGGATGTCGTGATTTATTCAGGGGATTTATCAGAGGACTGGGAGCAAATGGCTGAACTCACCCAATATCTCTAACCTGCTCCGTCCAATACACAGCAGCTGCATTCACACAACAGCTACACTCGGTTGTTTTTGACCACGGTTTGTCTGTTCATGGCTTAGGTAACCCCACCTGTTTGTTGAGTTTATGATTCAGGGTCTTCTGCAAAGCCAGCAAATGGGTTAAGTTAGAATCAGGTTAAACGACTGATGTGAATTTGCCATTCTATTTCTATCCCTCTTGAATGTTTGGCCAATCTCATCCATCCTAACTGAACCAGCTCCTGGAGCAGTTGTGAAACCTTGAGGCAGAAGTTTTCCGATTGCTGGTTGGCCTGGAAAGCTACCCTTCTACAAAAGTGCCAATGAGACCTCCCTGATTAGGTTCAGAGATCCCTTTGTTGTGTGATCCGGCCGTGCAGTTGGGAGGGTCTCCACCACGCCCGTGGTCACATGCCAGTCTGAACAGGTGCGTTCAGTGGGCTGCAGAGGAAGCCTCGGCAGGATGTGCTTTAAAGCAGACATCGCCAAAGACATGTGAAACTGAAAACCTCTAGAGATTAGCATTTAGAAGTTCTTGCAGGAGAGATCTAAATAACTTCAGACTTAACAGCTAAATTGAAGCAAATAAAGAAGAGAAAATGAAAAGAGCCGGAACAAGATGTATCTGCTCTCTTCCCTTGCTGGCATGAGCTCTTTCCCATTAAAAATCTGAAGCAGAATTTTCATCAAATTAGGACACAGTTTACCCTAATAAACATTAATCAAACAGTTGCCAGCAAAGCTAAAATGAGGTTCTGTCGCCAGACAGGAGGCAATTATTAGCAAACCCTGAGTGTTTTGATTACATTTACTGTTATATATGAAATGGTAATGAACGCAAAAAGGATTTTGAAAAAAGCACATTGTTCATATTGCCGCTAAAGCCCTAAAAGCAAAGCCTGAAATAAATAGATACGTGATGTTTTTCCTTTCGCTGCCCTATCTAGTGCCACAGTCTTGACCCAAGAGAGTGTAAATATCTCAGAGCGAGCCCCTCTATCCACCAGTAGAAGGAGCCTCCCTGGAAAGGGCCCACGGCTCGGTGGCAGGGAGAAGCTTCGCCCACACAGACAGCTGGATTCAGTTAATGAAATGACAGTAGTACAGCAGAAAAAAAAAAAAATCCTGGGATAAAAACCCTGCTGGTCAAAGGGTTCAGTGGAGGCTCCCACTCCCCATGGGTAAGGCCACTTCATTTACTCCATGCAACTTCAGTAATTCAAGCAAGGTTAGGAATACCACAAGATCGCTTATTTGCAGCCTGCACCGTGGTTAGGTCTTTGGCGTAATTCTTGGGTCATGCAATGCCTATTTCTTGGGGCGCAACAAGAAAAGGGCCCTCTAAGCCTTGCTAGTGCCTCTTGGATATTGAGGCAAGTTCTTATTTGGAGGGGTGTGTTTAAGGCTGTCTCCCTTTCCCAGCCTTCCAGGTGTGTTGGAATTGCACCTCCTAACACATCTGGCTGGCACCCAGTAGAAGGAGATTGTTTAAGGCAGGGTATAATTTATTATTGCAATTCTATGTTCATGAAATGGAAGAGATACGTGGTTCCCTTGGAGAGCAAATAATGTTCGGCTGGTAATTTAACAACAGGAGGTGTTAGATGAGATCATACCGTCTTCTACAGACCATCTCCCTGTAAATAGTTCCTGTCTAATCATCAATCTGAGCCCTTGTTGCTAGCTATATCCTCATGAGGACACCTTGTTATAGGCAATAAATATTTCTTCCTAGCTGTTATGACTCTTTCCAAAGTCCTGCCTTTGATACCTGCCTCTATCCTGAGCTATCAAAGTGATTTGGAAAGTGAAGTTCTGGTTTTTGAAGGGCCTCACCGGGAACTTCTCACGGGATAGAAACAGAGGACAGCTTTTCCTCTGAGCCTATCATTATTCAAAACAAGCAGAGTCTTGAGCACTTGTAACAGTGGTCAGATCAGTCTGAATCCACACGGAAAGGATAGCTAACTTCAAATTGTGTTTTGAAAGCAATACTGGAATATATCTAGATTTAGACCTGCTTTTAGAGAGCAGGTGGTAATTCAGGGGGAAGAGGGCTTGATAAATAGCAGCTACCAGCTGCACTTTAACAGGAGGCATATTATTTTTGCAAATCTATGTACAGTACAGTTTTGTCTATGTGCACGTGTGTGTTTTAAGTCATCTGGCAAAACGGAATTATTGCAAAGTCGGAAGAAAAGTCTTGGTTAAAACACCTTTGGAATGTAGAAACGATTGCATCAATCGTAAACAGTAGTTTGAAGTGATGGAGTTTGCTTTACTGTGCTACAGTTGGCTGCATTTATATTGACAATATTTTTAAAAAAATGGAACATGATCACAGAGAAAAGCTCCCCAATCATTGAAATATAACATCGGAACCAGCCAAGTTCAATAGTAACAAGGTCTCTAGGAAAAAAATATCTCCCAACATTCTGGCTGGCTTCCCCAACCCTAACTTGGAAAGCCTCCCCTTGTTTATCACCTTCCACATCTGTTGGGACAGCAACCTCCAGAGCTGGAATGCTGAGTTACATCTGGAGAACATCAACTTCAGGAGTGCTGCGTTTATAAACCTTGGGCCCGATCCATTCATCCATGCCGGGCAAACACGGGACCCAGTTTTGAAACGAGTCACCTCCCCACCCATGGAAGGCTACTTACATACGCATGGATCTCTCTTGCTTAGTTAAGCTGTTTATTTTTGAAGTAGTCACAAATCATTTTTGGGGAAGCCAGCTCTTCTAGGATGTGGTCCAAGTTGGCTGGTTCCCCTTGGATGCGGGAGATTCTTCTGCTTGGTGAGACTTAAGGCGGGATGAATAGTCCATTGTGCTAGACAAGAAAATGGGAAGATCCTAGAGTTGGCTGGTTGGGGGAGAAGATTTATGCAAGTCCTTCAGACCCTACGCTACACTAACCAGGAGGAAAATTGTGACGTGCTGTTGAGCTAAAACACCGTCTTTTTAACACTTTCTAGATGCAGGTTTTGCTTCCCCTCCCCTCCCCTCCCCCAAGGTAGCATTTCGTGATTACCGTCTCTTGCTTCCATCTGATTAGGTACTGACCATGTAACTATAATGCAGAATTTCATAGACACGCTCTGCAAGTAGGGCTGGAAATCAGCACAGACAAATACCTTGACAAAGTGTGGATGACTTTGGAACACAGTTTCCAGAGGACTTTTTTTTTTTCCCAAAAAAAGGATATGGAACATTGTTCCAAGGGATGCCCACTTCATGTCTACTTTTGGGTAAAACAGGTAAAAGGGTCCAGTTCAGAACTTCATCTCTGGAAGCTGTAACAAGCTGTAATCCTTCCAGAGCACCATTTCGCCCTTTGGTACTTAAATAAAATATTCCCCAGTGTAAATATATTTTCCTAGATTTAGAAAAAAAAAAAAAAAGATTAAGGCACCTACTGCAGCTTTTTTTTAAAAAAAAAAAAATCTTCCACCCACCCCCCGCGGTTCTTTTATGAGTACAGCTTGTTACAGCTTCCAGAGATGAAGTTCTGAACTGGACCCTTTTACCTGTTTTACCCAAAAGTAGACCAGCTTGTTACAGCTTCCAGAGATGAAGTTCTGAACTGGACCCTTTTACCTGTTTTACCCAAAAGTAGACACAAAGTGTGGATGACTTTGGAACACAGTTTCCAGAGGACTTTTTTTTTTTTTTTTGCAACAGGAAGCTGGTGGTGGTAGATTCATCTCGGCACGAGATGACACGAAGAACATATAGAGAGGAAAAAAGAGGACTGGTTGAATGAAACGGTGGAGGAGACGGACGCGCGGCGGCCCAGTCGCTCCAAGTGTTTACCCCGACTGTGAAATCAAACCGTCTGAGTGCAAAGTTTAGCCCAACTTTCTTGCCCTGGGCATGAAAGGACTTAACCCACAGTTTTGAGTACAAATGGGTTTATCAAATAAGGCTGCTGATGGGTGTGTCTTCATTGTATATAAATAGATATCCCTGAGTAAGAGGAGAGGTTGGTGGAGGAAAAATAGAATCAACCTGGCTGTATAGACATTCCTGGTTTTGCATTTTTTTTTTTCTACAAAATTCACTTCGACACCTGAGCAAAAAGTCTTGAAAAACTACTAACAGGAGCATCTTCTTAAGGCATAAAAAACACACACAGAGAGAGAAAAAGTTGGCCAGGAATAAGTTGCTGGCAGGGGAATGGAGAAGAGGCCCGTCCGTGTAAAACGTGAGTCCCGTTGTGCCAAATATTTTCTGCGGCCGAGTTGCAGGGAGAGAAACCTATCTCTCTCTCCCTCCCTCCCTCTCTCTCTTTTTCCCCTTAAAAACAAAGCCAAAGTTTTCTTTTTTTTTCAAAAAAAAGTTTTCTTAAAAAAAAAAAAAGATGGATGCCAAGCAAAGCGTACAATGCAAACCGAACTCCAACAAGTAGACGCGAAAGGTGGAGAGCAAAGTGCGGGGTCCAGCGCAGGCAGATCTAGGGGGAGCTTCCGGGACTGCCCGTGGGGCTGGACCCATCCGAGCGGCTGTAGTCGCTCACAGACCCTGTCCGGGAGCTGCTCCCGCTTCTTCTCTTGAGCATGTTAGGATGGAAGTTGGCATGGCGACGGGCGTGCTTCGTTAGGTGGTCGCTCCGCATGAAGCGCTTCTCGCAGAGGGGGCAGGAGAACTTCTTCTCCCCCGTGTGGGTGCGGAAATGCCGGGCCAGCTCATCGGAACGGGCAAACTTCTTGTTGCAGTCTTCCCAACGGCATTCGAAGGGCCTCTCGCCTGTTGAGACACACAGAGAAACAGACCTGAAATCACCTCCTCCGTTTCCTCCTCCTTTGCAAAACTCTGCATGGGGAATGGAAGCTCAGGCAACCCTCGCCAAAGCGGCCCCCACCCCGAAAGCCACACCCGCGTTGGGAAAGCAAGGGGAGAAAGTGCAGCGGGAGGAGTAAGCCCCACTGCGCTGAGAAAGGCTGAGGGCCAAGCGAGCATCCAGGAGCAATAAGATGCAAGTGGGGGAAAGGCTGCAACGTCAAAAAAAGGTCTTCTGCAATGGCCCTTCAGTTGTTAGGATTTCAGAAGGGAGGTATAAGAGTCCTACCAGCTCCTAAGATGGAGCTCAGGACCTTTGAGAAAAATACTCCAGAGGCCTGTATTTCGGATGACTAAGGGGTTTGCTCCCCAGAAAGGTGGCCACCAGGATGGTCTTGCAGGCTTGCAGCCCGAACCTGGCTAAGCAGCACCCCAGAGTTCCCTTTCTCTCTTCCAAATGTTCTGCCTTATCTCAGACTTCGGCATTCAGACTTCCTTAAGCTAGGGTGGCTCGCTGATAGCCCTCGGCAGCAGTCGTTCTTCCCCTTTCAGTGTGTGCATCCCGCGTCTCCTCCTGCCATTCAAGGAGACTTCCCAACATAATGCCGTGCAATAAAAGGGCAATACAGAAGGGGAACCAACCAGAAGGAAAGTCTGCAAAAGCAACTGTTTACGAGCAACTGTTTTTTTAAAACCTGTAATAAAATGTAATAAAAAGTCAGACTGATCCCGTGGCCTGGTCACAGGCCAATAAAAGACGGTCCAGAAGAAACAGCCAAGTCCTGCCGTTCAGCAGAAGGCCAAGGAGAGGACAAGGCCTTTCAACGTTTGGGTGCAGCAACAAGGAAGGTAACGTCTGTGGTTTATCTAGTTAAGCAGGTGGGCTCATCCAGGATAAGCCAGTTTAGTCCTAGCCTTTGTAGGCTGTAGAAGTGAGAAGCAGCTTTTTGAGCTGGGGCTGGAAACAAGCTGGAAGGTCCTACAGCAGCATTTCTCAACCTCAGCAGCTTTAAGATGTGTGGACTTCAATTCCCAGAATTCCCCAGCCAGACATGCTGGCTGGGGAATTCTGGGAGTTGAAGTCCACTCATTTTAAAGTGGCCAAGGTTGGGAAACACTGTCCTACAGGTTGAGGTGGGATGAGAAAGGGTTTCCAAAGGTCAGCTCCACTGAAAGACCAGCTGAGTTTTCTTCAAAGGTAGCCCCATAGTCAGAATGTTTCAGTAGCTCAACCAACGGAAAGGGGTGTCCCATAATTAGATCAGGGGGATATTGGTCTTTAAAGCAGGACCTAAAATAAACCCTTTGAACTGTGGTGCTGGAGAAGACTCTTAAGAGTC